ATTTCAAATATGTTTCCTTTTAAAATAAATGATATTGCATTATTTGTGTAATAATAGAATAAAAAAATCACTATTACACAAATTATGTATATTTTTTTATCCAGATGATATCGTAAGGTGCAGCTTGTTTTAAAATAATTCTCTTTTCTTTATGTAATTCTAAAAACAATTATTACGCTTAGAAATATTTTTAATATATAAAATATTTTAAAATATATGTGCATATATATATAACTTCAAGGATGGTTTCAGTATGCTAAAATAAGAAAAGAAATTCATATTATCATAGGTCTGATATGACATCTTGTTCCTAAATTATAGTTATTTTTGTATTGTACACGTTATTACATAATTTTTATAAAACTGAAGTGGTCACCTTCGGTATAAATACAGACTTCCAAACGTCTTATCATAAATTTTCTAACTCGTTTAAAAATACCAGCTGTTGTTTGAATTTGCTGACAACATGAGATAAAAAGCTTACTTGTAAATAGTTGAAACAAATGGTCACTAGAGTTATATGAATTACTGAAAGACAAAAACAGCTATAATTCAGAAACAAGATGTCATATCGGACATTTCTTATTGTATGAACTTTTTTCTTATTTTAGTGTTTCATAAACTAACACTGAAGTTACGCCCACATATTTGGAAATACCCTATAAATGAGAATATATTGATAATAACGCATCGGTTTCTATAAATTTAAAAATAAATTTTTAAAATACTCACCCAAAAGAAATGTGAAACAAAAGGAAGCGTCTAATTTACTGTAATGATCTGGTGAAATTAAATCTGTAAATGCTGCAAATTCATTGTTCTGCCAAATTATTTCCAATAATGATAGTAATTCTTGTCTCGTTAAGAAACAAGATGGAAACGATGATGAATCTGTACTACAAAATATACAAAGAATTATTATTTCTTTATTTTGTATTTTTTAACATTATTATAACATTATTATTATTTTGTACACAAAATTTTGTATGTGTATGTTACCTTGCATCTGGTATAAATAATTTTTCTGTGATTTCTGGAGATTGCAATTTTTCTGGTTCATAGTTAGTTAATTCCATTGCATCATGAAATTTAATTACTTTTGGAAGCTCATTTATACTAATGGCAACGCTCTTCTCTGAACTTATATTTTTGCTTATTTCAATAGATCTTCCAATCGCAGATGACAAATCAGAGGGAAGTTCTTCAATTTTATTACTTTTATCCATTAAACGTAGAAATTCAGTAGCTAAAAATTTATATTGATATTAGAATCACAAGATAATATCTAGAAATAATAATAATTTTTTGTATATAAGTAATACATTTTTCTAAAGATTGTCCAGATTCCATATGCATTTCTTTTTTAGTAGACGATAGAAGAGTGTACATGTCAAAAAGTTTATTCAAAGGACTGTTCCATTTGTTTTTGCGAGTGGAAATAAACCTTGCTGGTGCTTCTTTGAAAAGAATTTCTGATGTTGATATATTTACATCGATAACTTTCAATGGCTAAAAAGTAATAGAACACGATTAATGTTTGCATTAATTGGACAATTTATTATGAAGTGGTATATGTCCATTTTTAAAACAAATTGAGAAAACATAATTTTCATTAATATTAAATAAAGCATCAGAATTATGTTTTTCAAAAATGAATTTACATCACTTTCATAATAAGTGGTTCAATTCTAGAATATCATTTAAATTCATTCTTGTGCAAAATTTGATTAAACTTACAACAGTATGAGTATTGATATTATTGATACACTTTCGTATTACTTTATGACTAAGTTTTGTAATTTTGTCAGCAAACATTCTTTTTTTCTTAGATTTTCTCTTAATCTGTTGTAAATCTTCATGAATTGATTCCAAATTCTGTAATGATTCTATGGAATAGTCTGTGGTAAGAACTGAAATTTCTTCGGTTTCTGGTATCATTGTTATTTCAGCATTACTTGGTACTGCTATATCTTCAAATCTTAACTAAAATAATCATTCTCTAATTATTCCTAATTGTTAATAATAATAGTCTTTACTTGTGTAGTAAAATATATACATGTCTTCTTTTGGTTGGTGTTTCTATATATGTTTCTTCAGTAGATTGTCTTTTTCGAGGTGTTAAAAATGTACTCTCCCCTGGCATAAATTCTTGCTTAGTTATTTCTGGTAACATTGTCTTTGTATAAGCTGCATGATGTTCTTTGTCTAAAAAATAAATGCATTAAATCAAGTTGGATAATTATTATTAACTGTAATTTTGATTTATTTCTTTTAAACATATTTTTCTTCTTACTTGCTATGATTATGTCATCACGATCAGAAAATAACATTTCTGTTTCTAATTCATGCTTCGATACATCAGGTTCTTCTAAATCTGATAAAATTATTTTATTTGCAGTAGATGTATCACTTAATTCTCTGTCCAGATTAGAATCAGTGATATGTATTCTCTCAAATATTTCTCTAAAAAACAATTAAAAGAAAAGTATAATAATTTTAATATAAAATTATAAAAAGATAATGTTTCATAATATTATTACAACTTAGATAAATTTAATATTTAAAGGAAAATCAAGGATTATTGGAAAAGGAAATAAGGACACTAACAATGAAATGTCTTCGCCATTTGGAAGGAGAAAATTCAGTTGTTCATGAGTTAGAGCACCGAAGTCCAAACATGTAGCATCATGCATCTAAATATATATATATATATAATTATACATGCATATATAAATAAAATAAATAAAATAAAAGGAGTTATATATATAGAATGTCATGTAATTGGTGGTAAAGAGGGTAATTCTTTATGAAAAATTAAGTCGTAAAGGAAGAATAAAATTTGTTCGTATAAAGTTTTGTTTTACAGAAAAATAAATTGAAAAATTTGTTGAGTACACGTACACTTGATTCAGTTTCAGCTCAACAAAAATTTTAAAAAGCATTTTTGTGTTTCTTAATATGTTTACAAATATTGTCAGTATGATGGTATCTTTTATATCCAATTTGTAACCCCTTACATTCCCTTATACCATTAGTTACAAGACATCCTGTATAAAGAATATAGAAAAACAAGTATACAACTTGACATAATAATTCGAATGTAACAAATATGAATACTAGTTAATATTTACCATCGCTTCTATTTTAGTGTTTATGTTAAATTCATCACGAACAACAGGTGAAGTGTTATCCAACTGAACATCATTAAAATCTTGAATTACAGAAGTTATGTTACATAAACCCAAATCTTTTATGACAGTATTTCTTTCATCTCTGTAAATTAAAAAGGTTTTCTTTTATGAATTTGTGTTTATATTGTTATAAGTATTGAAAGATTAAAATATTACATTTCAGTTCTTTTGTGGTACAATACTTTTTTATTTATTTGAAAAACTTGAGCTAAAACAGACAAAAAATAATTAATTAGTAATTGTTTTTATAGTATATAAGAGAGATTGATTGGTTTAAATAATTTAATAAAATATATAGTAACTTACTTTGTAAACTAGCGGTCTGATATAAAAGAATTTTTGCTGCTCCATACATAAGTTGCGATGATAAATATAAACTAAAACGTCTACTAGTTTCATTACTTTCTATTTGAACCGTATTCATTATTTCCATGCTAGAAAAAAAAATTAATACGGATATTATTAATTATTCTTCAAATAAGAAAGTAATATTAATAATATATTTAATATTTACCATAGTTCACAGAGGTTAATTCTATTCACAGTTGACGATTTACACATTTGCTTGAATATTCTATCATTGACTGTTGCAGCTAACCAACATCGTGCAAGTTTTCCTTTTTGTCGGAGAGAAAGCAGTTCATGCGAATAAAACATCTAATATTCATTTTTAAATTAAAATAGTAAATGTTATTAAAAGGCTTAATAAAAGTATGAGGTTAAATTTTTAGCTTTAGGTTGTTAGGTTACATGGATATTAAATTATTAATTGTTAGTTTATATAGATGTTATAAGTTTAAGATAAAGATTTACATACCTTTTATGAAATTAATAACATACTTTATTCCCGATAGGAATTGTTTTATAAATATATTAAGAAACAAAGAAATAAAAATAACCACTTTCCATTGTTTTCATGATGTACTTAACAGAAATAAAAATAATCACTTTTCATTGTTTCATGATGTACGTATACACACGTCGTATGGAGAACGGCATCTTATAATGGTTCGATGAAGTTTCTATTAATTAAGGTTGTAAATCTGATATAGATATTTTCATTAATTAAACAGTTTATTAATAAACATATTTGAAGTCTTTGATAAACTTTATCAATATTTAAAAAATCATATATATATTTGTTATAGAACTATTAATAATTAAATTCATGTTTAAATATAGCGCGAAAATATTTACATGTTATATACTCGCTGATTGGTTGAAGACAAAATTGCATTGTGCGCATACTGGCGCGAAGCAGTTGTTTAACTAATTCGAATCAGATCTCCATTTTGGATTTTCGAACTGTATTAAGTTGACAAGGTATCATTTTTGTCCTCGTATTTTCCAGGTAAACAACATAATTTTTATAACGTATACCATCTTCATAAATATCAATCGATTCCTGTAACATCTATTATTACCATTTATTACCAATTATTTTATTACTCTAATAAACATTCTTTATATTTCAGATTGTTTAAACACATATGTACTAGTATAAGCATTACATATTGATTAGCATACTTTAAATATTAATTGATTTCGACGTGATATTCTTATCGATGAAAATTTCCATCTCCACTGCACAGGAACGTTAAAACAAATTTACATTTATTTGAACAATTACATAAAAATAAAAAAAAAAGTAAAATCTGAGCGTTATAATCTTAAATTTTATCGATTAGATGAATTATTCCTTTTTTACACGTGCGCAACGTTCGGAAAATCTTATAAACAACTTTCGATAAAAAAAACTATTCTATGTGACAACGTATCAGTCTAACGGGAGATTTCGAAGAGGATGGTACATAGATCATATATTTCGAATTTTTAAACAACAACGGACACTTCTATCAATTAATTAACAATTATTTTAATAATATAATACACTCTTTTTATATTGCAGATTGTTTAAACATATATGTACTAGTATAAGCATTACATACCTATTAGCATACTTTAAATATTAATTGATCTCGATTAAAATTTCCCCCTCCGATAACATTCTGCAGAGGTACGTTAAAAAAATGTACAACAGTTTAAACAATTACATAGAAATGAAAAAATACTAAAATCAAATCGTTATAATCTTAAATTTTATCGATTAGATGAATTATTCCTTTTTGACACATGTGCAACGTTCGGAAAGTTTTATAAACAACTTCCAATAAAAGTAATTTTCTAGAGGACTTTGACTCAGTCTAACAGAAGACTTCGAAGAAGACGGTGCTCCTAACATATATACCGAGCTTTTTAACAACAATAGTCATTTCTATCAATTATTTAACAATTATTTTAATAATCTAATACACTCTCTTTATATTACAGATTGTTTTAACACATATGTACTGTTTTAGGCATTACATATTTAGTAAAATACTTTAAATAGAAAATGATTGTAATATCTTTTTATTTTATGTTTTTAGAGAGATGAATTTTTTAAACTTGATTTCGTTACTTTTCATTAACTCACATTGTTTTTTAATCAGTTCTCCGTTAGACATTGCCATGTAAACGTTGATGCGTGTTATCGGCGAATTGATGAAATTCTTATGGTGGGGACTAAGAGTGATATTCTTTAAAAAACATTCTCGTTTAAATTATCTTATTTTCTTTAAATTATATTCGGATGTGGACATCTTCAGGATGCACATCCCGGGTCTTTAGAAGCGGTTACCTCCTCGTGGTTAGACCCGGGCAATGGATATTACTTTTCGTGTAATGTTTATCATATTTTTATATGCTATACATTACATTACAAGTAAAATCCAGCTCTCTCCTTGGTTCCTTCTATCCATTTAATATACAGAAACTAATTGCTTTATAATGTTTTTTAGTAACTTTTATATTCTTACAGATACCACACGGAACAATCTTGGATTATTTAAATTTTACTTTGTTTCAGGAAATGATTAATTACAACGCACTTGCAAAGCTCCTTTTCAAATCATTTTTATACTTTTAGAGATATCAGGAAGTATTCTAAGATTTTGGCAATTTAATTAATATTTTACTTTTTTTCAGGATAGGATTAATTTTCTAACGCACATGTTATAGAATCGGTTTTTAAATAACTTCTATATGTTTATTATACTTTTGTAATTCCAGTAGTCGCGATCTATATAAGAGCTTGCTTTCATTGCATCTTTGCAATCCTAGAATAATCTTTTCTTTTTCACATTCATTTTCTTACCTTCAATGATTGGGAGAAATCACGTCATTACCTAGAATTACACACATCACACTTTCTCTACTTATTTCTCTTTCTTTATTTTTCTCTATGCATTTTTCTTTCTTCTTTTTTTTTTATCTCTTTTGAAATCAAAATTTTTCTGCAATAAATTTGTCAAACAACTCTACTCTTTTGAGGTAAAATGAACAATCGTTTTTTGTTTTTTATTCGCGATTTGGTATGCATAAATATTCATTAGTATAGAGATTTGTCTTTTACCATATATATATTGTAATTAGTTTCATTCTGATGCGTAAATAAAATTAACTATAAAAAAAATTAAAAAATTTAAATAGAAAAATATGTCTTTTTTTTAGTCAATAATATTTTTGTTAGATTGTGCAAGTTATAATGAGTTGCATTTCGCTACATATTATTTAAATTTTGTATAACTTATAAAGAAAAGCTACTAATATATTAAAATCATATATCATTTCTAAAAAAAAAATGTATTGTGACACTACATTGTAAAAGTATGCTGATTTTGATCGTTTATTTCTCTTTCTTTATAACTTTTCTCATTAGTTTAAGAATATTTACAACAATAATGATAAGAATATGATAAAAATTTAGATATAAATCAAACGGATTATTACGCACAGCTTGTCAATTGAAATTGTTTATTTTAATTTTGCTCATTTAGATAATTTTAAAGATTCGTAAATTTTATTGCATTTTATTTGCGTGCTCATATCGGACATAAATGTAGAAACATGTCTTTCTTTGTCTCTCTGTTTCTCAGTCTCATAAATAGTTATCAAAGTCATTCTGGGATCCATATTATACAGTGCATATGTACATAAATCCTAGAAAAGATATTTTCATTTTCATTTATAAATTATTTAACGAAAGAATAAATACACCCAAGAAAGTGTATAAATTATTAAAATAAATTATCAATTAACCTTTAAGCTTTTAGCATAAATTATTTTATCCATAGTAAGAAGTTCTGCATAGCGTTCTTTTATTTTATTTTGAATATTATCCCAATGGATTAATGGTTTATGAATAAACGCCTAAAAAACATAATCAGGAAATTATATTTTATCATTTCTTACTAATACAAATAATTATTCTATATTTACATATGGACAACTGACAACAATTGTGAACTCTTCAGATGTTTCAAATTTTCTGTCTGAATGTCTGTAACCTGCTCCTGAATCCTTCATTCCTCTAGAATCAAACACTATTAAAACAGCTACCACATCGTGCTTACGCTGAAAACTTTGAATTCTAAAATGCATGGACAAATATTAGATCAAATTTTAATCGTATGAATTTTTGTAAGCATTAAAAATATAATTTACTTATGGTAATAATCCACGCTTTGTTTACTCATTATACTTCTCATTTCTCCTGGAGTAGCTTGTTGGCTCAGAGTCGTATGAAAATATAAAGAACATTTAGCTAATATAGCATTTTTCAATTTTACTAACCATTGATACAATGCAGGCTGTTGATTTGCCTTAAGAAATGTAGCACCGAATCCTAATTTCCATGACTAAAAATATATATAGTTATTAAATAAATGTTATTAACAGTATATATACCATTAAATATAATTACAAACCTCTTTACTCTGTAAAGTTCTTTCCCATGCTGACATTCGAGTTTGCGCTCCAAAAAGTGCCATAAGCGTAGGTAAAAATCTCCAGTGTTGTATCTCTATATGCGCTTCTGTTAACTGAACCAGTATTTCACATTCCAAACTAATAAGTTAAGTTTAAAATTAACTATATATTTTCTCTTTCTCATATAATAAAGGACATAGTATAGGAGACACTTACGTTAAAGCTGTTTTGATAGCCGTTAATGCTAAATGAGTACAAGACAAAGAGTGTGCTTGTACTATTGCATTAATTGATTGTAATAATTCTTGATATTTCATTATTTTGCTGTTAATGCTCATACTGTACATTTTCTCATAACTACAACATATTATTTCTAACTAAGATTTAATATATTAAAATATAGAAATATATTGTACTAACAAATCTATCAACTGGATCCTTGCCCCAATGAATTGATAAAGTTGACTAGAAACTTCTGCGACTATGGCACCAATGGTATTCGTTCCTCTTGTCATTTCTTCTAATCTTCTAAGATCTGACTTTAACGACTCGTAGACAGTTTTTAAAGAATTCTAAAAAGCAGTGTTTTTTTCATCAAGTTCTTGTTAAAAATCTAATTATTTATATATTGTGTTAAAAGAAATAATATATTATACGTGTTAATAATATTTGTTAAAAATATTACTTAAAGTATATACATCTTTTCTTAAGAAGCCTTTGTTTTTTGTATGAAGAAAACCAAGATCTGCATAAGAGCGTTCTGTAAATGCTATTTGTGGTAATGTCATCAACAACATTCCCCATGGGCCCATTTGTGTTTGCCTGCATGATTCTCGCTCTTTCTCCTAGAAATTTATTATATCATAAATATTTTCTCATGAAATTAATTCATCAGGGTAGTAAAATAATAAATAGAAACTACGTACAACAAGTTCTTTTGCTTTATCGCAGCACAGCTGTGTAACCTGAGTAAAAAAATTATTAAGAAATTCCTCTTCGTGATCCATTTTTTAATTTTGTTTACATTAACTATGAAAAAGAAAAAAGATATACAGAGTATTTTTTCATTCTTCCATTATAATATATTATTATACAATCATTTTAAAATACACATTATTATTCATATCACAAATAAGACTTTATTCCAAAAAGTAATCTTAACCTTATAATTCTCATCTCT